TCAACCACAACCAAAGTCCTCTTATTATAGACTCTAAATGCTTTGCTTCTAGAAGAATAACGAAGAAAAATGCCTTCATCGGATTTAATATCAAATTTTCCTAGATTGTCTTTGTCGTTAAGAACGAAACATTTACACCCAAAAACTTTGAAATAACCTATATTAGGTTTCCTTTTGTTCCATTATTCATAAGATGTTTTGTTGAGAATTTTTCTAATGACAACTCTATTTATGACATAGCATGAAGTATTAATGGCTTCGGCCCATAGAGATCTAGGTGATTTGTGCTCATTTAGCATGGTTCTAGCCATCTCTTGAAGAGACCTATTCTTCCTTTCAACAACTCCATTTTGTTGAGGAGACCTAGGTACCGAAAGATTGTAATTATAGCCATTTTCGTCGCAAAATCTTTCAACGTCTTGATTATCAAACTCTCTACCCCTATCACTTCTAATAATCTTAATCTTACATTCCCTTTCGTTTTCGACTCTTTTACAAAATTTTGAAAGAATTAAATGAGCCTCATTTTTGCGTGCAAGAAAGAATACCCAAGTGAATCTAGAGTAGTCATCATCACAAAAGCATAAAGTTTACCACCAAGACTAGCAATTTTCTCCGGCCCAAATAGATCCATGTGAATCAATTCAAGTGGTTTTGAAGTGGTTATGTCTTTTTTCCTTTTGAAAGAAGACTTGACTTGCTTACCTATTTGGCAAGCACTACAAGGTTTGTCTTTTGAAAAATTTGTCTTTGGGAGACCTTTGACTAATTCATTTTTAGACAATCTTGAGATTAAATCCATGCTAGCATGGCCTAACCTTCTATGCCACACCTATCTATGTTCATTTGATGATATGAAGCATTTAACATCTTAATCATGAAGTTCACCTAAGAGCAAGGTATATACATAACCATTTCTAGGAGCACAAAATATTTGAGTTTCATTTCTTTTAACGATACACTTATCCGTTTTAAAGATCACATCAAATCCATTGTCACAAAGAGTAACTAACACTAAATAGATTATGCTTTAATCCTTCAACAAGCAAAACATTTTCAATAGACAAGGAAGAAGAAATACTTATGATTCCAATGCCAATCACCTTGCCTTTAGAATTGTCTCCAAATGTGACGCTTACTCTGTTGTATGTATGCTTTTAGAGAAGAGAATTTTGAGTGATCACCCGTCATGGGTCTTGAACATCCACTATCTAGAAACCATTGGTCCTTGGAGGATGTGGGGGCCTTCAACCCAACTTACAAGAGAGGTTTCAAAAGTCTTCACTTGGTACCCAAATTTTGTTGGGTCCGTAAGAGTTAGCTAGAGGCAAGTATGTTCTTTTAGGAACCCACTTCTTTATGATTTTCGGCCTTTTCTTCGAGCGATCTTGAATAAGATGATCCATTCTTTTACAATAGTTGCATCTAGAATTTTTGTTCTTCCTTTTAACAAAATAGTTAGCCAAAGGCTTTCTCTTTTTCAATAGGCATGTTTTTTTGCCATAAGGATCATATCCTAATCCACGTTTATTAAAGACACTTCTTTGAGCACCTAGCATAAGTTCTAGATTTTTTGTACCTTGAGTAAATTTTGCTAGACCATCAATTTGGTCTTCAATGATTAATTTCAAGGATTCGTTTTCAGAAGTAAGATCATGTGATGCTGATTGTTTAAGTAGAGTGCATTCCTTTTTCAAGCAATCATTTTTACTTTGAAGAGTTTGAAGTTTGTTATCAATGATAAGCTTTTCTCTTCTTTGAGAAGCACATTTTTTGACCATTTTATCTAGTTCATCATGCAATTCTTTAAAATCATCAAGTAGTCCATTATAAGCATCAACCAAATCATCATAAGACATTTCACATTCAGATGAAGAGTCAAGATTAGAGTTTACCTCATCCCTGTTTGCCATGAGACAGAGAATAGCTTTTTCCTCATCGCTTTCGGAATCGTTTGAGTCATCATCTTCCCAAGTGGCTTGCATGGCTTTTCTCTTTTTCTTCTCCTTTTTATAAACAAGACAATCAGTTTTGAAATGTCCCGGTTTTCCATAATGAAAACAGGTAGGGGTGTCTCGTTTGCTTTGTTCATTTGATGATTCACCCTTTTTGAATCTTCCCTTGTTGAATTTCTTCCTATGAAGAAATCTTTTGAAGGATTGAGTAATAAGAGCAAGATCATCATTTTTACTATCGTTGCCAGCAATTTCCTTTTCTATTTGAGAGGATTTGAGAGCAATTTCTTTCTTTCGATGATGATCTCTTTCTCTATCTTTTAGGGTGATTTCCCATGTAAGAAGAGAACCAAGTAGTTCATCCAACTCAAGAGTGTTGAGATTGTGTGCCTCCTTAATTGCCGTAGCTTTTGCATCCCATTTTTCAGGTAAGCTTCTTAGGATTTTCCTTGCAAGATCAGAATTAGTAATAGTCCTACCAAGATGCTTTAAGCCATTTATAATGTCAATAAATCTCACAAACATTTCACTAATGGACTTATTTTCATTCATGCGAAACAATTCATATTGATGCATAAGAATATCAATTTTGGATTCCTTAACTTGTGATGTCCCTTCATAGGTAATCTTAAGTTTATCCCAAATTTCTTTAGCTGTGGTACAAGTAGAGACTCTATTGTACTCACTAGGACTTATGGCACAATTTAGATTTACTTTGGCTTTAGCATTTAGGGAAATGAGTTTATAATCCTCGGTGTCTCATTCAGCTTCAGTTTTAGGAACTTTTCTTGTGTCAACAACTTTCATTGGAACAAAAGGTCCATTGACTATAACTAACCAAATTTGATAGTCTACGGATTGAAGGAAGTCTTTCATTCTATTTTTCCAATAACCATAGTTTGTTTCATCGAACCAAAGAGGTCTAGAGTTAGATCGACCTTCTTGATGAAAGTGACCATTTAAGTTTGCCATGATCGTTCTCTAATACACTTAGGTCTTTTCAATAGAAATTAGGCTCTGATACCAATTGTTGCCCAAGTAATGACTCTATAGAAAGGGCGCGCGCGCGCGCGCGGGGGGGGGGGGGGGGGGGGGGGAATAGAGTCTTAACAATCAATGGTCAATTTTTAATTTCAATTGATAAGCAAGTGCAAGGCTAACTTGCTCAGTAATAGTTTAATAAAGCAATTTGAAATTTAAGCTACAACTACCAGCAATAATCAAGAGATTAATCAAGTTGAACTTTAAGCAATAAATGTAAGAGATAAAGAGAGAGATTGCAAATAAGCACTCAGCGATTTTAGCGAGGTTCGGAAACTCCTACTCCTCGGTCCAAGACTCCTCTTGAGACTTCCCAATCCACTATAGGTTCTCCTTATGGGTGGAGAGCAAACATTTTACAAGAAGCACCTCTTTGCTTCAAAGGGCTAAGAGAAACACCATCTCTTAGTCTTCCTTGGGCCACACCAGCCCTTGCAAGATTTGAAGAAGATAAATGAAGTACAATATAATCTCTCTCAAATTTGTAGTACAAATTTTAGCTCACTCTAGAATATGTATGAATAGATTGAAGCTCAATACTCTTTAAGGATATGAAGTGTGTGAATGATGATAAAAAGGTTCTATGATTGCAAGGATATAATTCTCAATGGTTGCAATACCTTTTTATGAAGACCACAAGTCATTATATAGAGTTTCAGATGTATCTGATGTGTATTCTAGCTGTTGGGCACACAGTTTGAGATAAAATAGCCGTTCAAAATTTGAATCTACGCTGGTTCGGTCGACCAAAATGAAACACCATTGTGTTTCGGTCGTCCGAAATAGTTTAAGGTTGGCTATCACTCTTTATTTCGGTAGACCGAAATGATTTACCCTTTTGTTTCGGTCGTCCAAAATACCTTCATCCTTTGATCCAAAACTCTCTGTTAGAATCAGTTCGTCCGATTCATTTGCTCCTTTATTTCGGCCGTTTGAAATAACTAAAGGTAATCTTTCATCAAATCATTTCGGTATTGAAATGATTTGGTCTTTTATTTCGGTAGGCCAAAATAAAAGAAGCTTTGTTCCAAAGTCTCTGTTAGGATCGGTCGACTGTTTCAAGTTGTCCTTCCATTTCGGTCGACCGAAATGGAACTTATCTTTCAAGGAATACATTAAGTTCATAGATGATTTTTATTCTTTATGTTTCTTTATCATCATGGAAGTGATTAATGTATGACCCTAGATTTGAGCTTCAAAATGTTCATACAAACTTTGACAATGGTTCCTAAAAGCTCACCATCTTAGCTACCCCATTTGAAAAGATCTTGATGACTTCTCTTTAGATCTTGATTCCTTTTGTGGCCTTTTCCCTTATCTCCATGATGCTCCTTTTCATTTGTGCTTTTACATGTAATGTCTTGACTTGATGAATGCTTAGATCTGTAATTTGCTCAAGGTAGACATTAGAACACATAGAACATCATTAATGAATTATAATCATCAAAAGCCTTAGATTCAAGGTCAACAGGTTAGACTTACCAACTTCATTTCTGCTAAGGTTTTTTCAATTCTTAAACGGGACATCTTAGTCGTTAAAATTCAATAAAGCACATCATGGTGATGAACACGTTGATTTCTTGAATTGTTTTCCACCAAAACAAACGGAGTTGGCTCACTGATTTTCTTTCCCTTTGACATATGTAAGTAATTGAGCTTTCTTTCAACTGGGGCATTGTCTGATTGGGGGAAAGTGTTGTTTGGACAAATTTACTCATGATGGATTAATAGCTATTATTGCTCCTTACTAGAGAATCCGTTTTGAAGTACATTACATACAGGTAAAAGTATAGAGATAGGAAGATTAGGAATATAGGAGTGTTGGTTGTTATGCTTGATGCCTTGTGATCTTTGAAAAGAACATATTTTTTATCTCATCAGTTCCCTAGATCTGGCCTTTTTTAGTTGAGACTTATCAGTACTTTACTCTGTAGAGAGGATAATTGCCCGTATATTCCATTATTTACAAAAGTCCTCCTCTTAGGAAAAGCAATTACTTTGCAGGTTAAAGCGAGCTTTATTACAACTGAAGCCGACCAAGTTGAAAAAGGAATTGTCGATCTGGTGAACAAATATGGTATTAGGCGACTTGTTATGGGAGCAGTGCCTGACAAGTAAGCGCTTCACTTTTTGTTCAAGTTGACGTCTGTAGAAATTTGAATAACCTATTTTCTATGCTACTTCTCAGACGTAATGTCTTGGGCTGCATTGGTCAGTTTGTGCAGCAGGAAGCCGCTGGATTCTTCTATTCAAGTTCCAAATTTGTTAGTTATTTACAAAGAATGATAATGGATGGATACTTACACTTCATTTTTGCTTTTTATATAAATAGAGAAGTATTAATTTAATTTTTTTTGGAGAATGGCAAAATATAAGCTGGTGACAGTAAAAGTTACATTTCTGGATACTCGGTTTTAAGTTCAAATCTTCTGTTGCAAGGATGAAAGAATTCTTTCTAGTGAAAGATGTAGATAAAGGCACTTCTTAGCTTTCAAATGTTCTAAAAAAACTATGAAAATTAGCATTGTCAGCAGATAATATTGAAATAAGAGTTGGTGAATTCCTTGGAAGCTGAGGGGAATATTCCCCTTACATTAAATTTTGGCTGAATTTGGTGGGATTTAATGTTTTGTTTACAACTGGGTATAATTTTCTTGTAGTTATGAACCTGTAAAATGGAATATATCTTTCAGGAGACTTATATATAAAGGAAAAAGAATTATAAGAAGTTAGCTAAATTATTTATTGTAAGTAGGACACTTAATAGAGAACTTACTACATGTGATCTGTTTAATATCTCATTCATCAGTAGGAGTTGGTCATGAAACTTGGTTTTTAGGTTCTCTTTAAACCATATATAAGAGCAAGATTGGATATTCTGAAGAGTTACCTTATTGCTATTAAAAAAGTGTTCAAGAGGACTTGTGGTCCTATAAAAAATTCAGTTACGTTACTGTGTATCATCTGTGAAAACCTTTCAGTTGCACTGTTGTGTTGTATTGTTGATGCTAGTGCTGACATTCCATAGAATATTCTTCCCATGGAATATTCTTTGTACAGTTGCATGAAGGTGAAAATGAGCTCAGACAAAGCAAGTTATGCTGCAAAAAATGCTCCTCAATTCTGTGAGATATGGTTTGTCAACAAAGGAAAGCGCAGTTGGACAAGAGATGCTTCTGATGGGTCAAGTTGTATTCCTCCTATCGGGCAACAAGAGACTGTTTCTGCAAATGATTTGAGGTCTAAATCTTTGCGATATGATGAAAGTGAGGTCATGTTTCATCCAGAATGTCTTCGTTCCAGCTCTGGTAGAAGTATAGTCTCTGCTGGAATTAGAGATTGGGTTCAGGCTGAAGCAGTTCAATCGGAAGTGCCTTTTTCACCAACTTTGTTCAGTAATACTAATAGATGCGAGTCATACTATCCACACGGTTTGTTTAGCCCAACAAGCAGTAGCTTCGACTCTGGATATACTTCCTTTGCCGAAAAAAGGGTGTCTTCAGATTCTGACACAAAAGTTGAGGAAGAAAGCTTTTACAGTCAGCTCACTGAAATAAGAATAGTAGCTGGTTCATCAAGGAACGAAGCATTTGCAGAGCTTTTGAAGCGCAAAAATTGGGAAGCTGAAGCCATAGAAGCTATTAGCAAGGTAAAATTTTAACTTTGCTCTTTGTGATCTGTAGTTTGTATATTACTTTTAATAACTCAAAGAAAATGATAATTCTAGAGCATGACACGAGAAGTTTGTGGTCTTCTTTGTGCGCGAACCTACATGTTGGGAACACACAAGTTGAAGCACTGGTAATGGTTCATTGATAAAAGAGAAATTGCTTGCCCTGAGAAATAGGTCCTGTAACCCTAATGCATTGGATCTTAAAGCCTTCATCCTGCTGAGAGATTTAGTGAGTCCACTTTAAGGAATTTTCATGCTGAAACATTTTAGTGATCTCCTCTTCAACTCATTTTCCTTTGAGTTACAAAAGTCCTTGTGTTTATTGATTGCCAAGAAATTTCAGAATTATCTTCCTGACAGATGAGTGCATCCCTTAGAACAGTCAAATTATGTATTTTTGCTTGTATGTGATCCAAAACACTACCATATTTATAATATATGACATTATCAGTTGATTAGATACATGGATTTAAGAAATGTTGGTTGCACCAAATGCTGTGACCCTTGAAATGTTCTAAACTAACATTTCCATTGTCGATAAATTACTAGAAGCATAAATTGTTAAGAGATATACTACTTATTCACTTAATCTTGGGTTCTTGCGGTGAATATGAAATATATATGATCAGTTGTGGTGAATGGGTACTCTGTGAACCTTCTTTACCGTTCTTCTCCTAAAATGGTAAAAATCTTCTCTGATTTCTTCAGGTCAAGGATTTTGAATCTGCTCATGAACATGAAGTTAAACTTAGAAAAGAAGCTGAGGATGCACTGAGAACTACATTACAGGAACAAGAAAAACTCTTGGAAGAAAGCGAAGAAGTAACTAGAGAATTACACCAGGCCATGAGAAATATAGCTCTCTTAGAAAGTCGTGCACAGGAAGCAAGCCGTCGCCGTGTAGAGGCTGCTGGAGAACTGAAACTCGTCCAGGCGTCCATTGCCACTCTGCGACATGAAAAGAAGAAGATCAGGCAGCAGAAAACCGAAGCCACACGTTGGCTTGATCGGTGGAGAAGTCGTGGACAAGCTAAAGGTGCAAATTGCGATGGGATCATTGGGTTTATTGAAGATACACCAGAAGTAGCAGAATTTTCATTGTCAGACCTGCAAAGTGCGACGTGCAATTTTTCTGAGAGTTTCAAGATTGGACAGGGTGGTTATGGGTCTGTTTACAAGGGGGAAATGTTGGATAGAACAGTTGCTATAAAGAAGCTGCATCCAAAAAACATGCAAAGTCTATCAGAGTTCCAAAAAGAGGTTTACTCTCTCTCTCTCTCTCTCTCACACACACACACAGAAAAAGAAGAAACTATCCTCCCACTCTTTGTTTCCACTACTTGTTGTGCCGTACAAAAGATATGCCCTTTGTTTTTCTGAGTCTGAACTTCGTCAATTTTCTGGTTGAATTTCGTATGGTTCTCTCAGATTATTTAGTAGTTTATTACATTTTTTAAGTTTTAAAGATCTAAAAAAGTGCAATAGGACGAATGGATCATGTGATTGCCTTAAAACGCTTTGTTTAGGAGACCTCCATGGTGTAATTAATTCAATGCTGGGTTTTCAATGATCTGAGATTCTAAGTTTCAACATGTAATTTCTTTCTGAGCACAAGCTCTAGAAACTAAAAGAAGCATTTATATCATAATAAAATGTGGCTATCACATATACTTCATTTTCTTGCTTGTGCGGCTAGAGTTGACGTAAGATAACACTCTTTCTGCATATGCAGGTTCAAGTCCTTGGCAGACTACAGCATCCTCGTCTGGTGACTTTATTTGGTGTATGTCCAGAAGCCTGGTCTCTTGTATATGAGTACTTGCCCAATGGGAGCCTCCAACGTCGCCTTTTTCAGAAAAGCAACATTCTCTCCCTGACCTGGAAGATCCGAGCACGAATAATTGCTGAAATAGCTAGTGTCCTTTTGTTCTTGCACTCTTCTAAACCTGAAAAGATTGTGCATGGAGATTTGAAGCCTGAAAACATCCTTCTTGACACTGAACTAAGCTGCAAGATATGCGATTTTGGGATCTCTAGGCTTGTTCCAGAGGAGACCTTCCGTTGCCCAAGTTTCCGCCAGTACAGTGAGCCAAAGGGTGCTTTCCCGTATATGGATCCAGAGTTTCGTAGAACTAGAAGCCTGACACCTAAATCTGACATTTACTCCTTTGGGCTAATTATACTACAACTACTCACTGGAAGACCTCCAGCAGGATTGTCTGGTGAGGTGCGTAAAGCAGTGTCATGTGGGAAATTAACATCCATTTTGGATTCATCTGCTGGAGAATGGCCAACATTTGTGGCAAGGCGACTGGTGGACCTTGGGTTGCAGTGCTGTGAACTGAACAGTAGGGACAGACCCGAGCTAATGCCAACCCTGGTGAGGGAACTTGAGCAGTTGCATTTCTTGGAAGAGCGACAAGTGCCGTCTTTCTTCTTGTGCCCTATCCTAAAGGTGAGTAATGCCTTCATGTATTACATGTAATCGTCCTATTACAATCTGTAGTAATGAACTAAGGTGTCAACTTGGGGATCCATAAAAGCATTCCACGGGTCAACTGCGTTGACTACCTGCAAGTGCAATATTTCTGTGTGATGATTATCCCACAAGAAATTTGTAACAGCTTGCGCTTGCTTTACCCCGTCCTGCCAGAGCTTCTTCATCAGCCTGAACAAGATGAATACCGGTTGGAGTATATGACACTTTTTTTGTGTTAAAACCACAGAACAAGCTCTAGCAGCGTTACTAGCTTGAGCTTGAACTTAGATCTACCAAGCTATCGTTGGAATAGCCTTGTAGACTCCATTTGGCTCATCTATACGCACATGTTTCTATACCCACACGTTTTACATACATCATAAAGGCTGATAAAGTTCTCCGGTGCCTACTTGGAACAGTTTGCTAAAAGAAATTTTATATGGCTTTTTGATTCACAACCCTAGGCTTGCTAGAATTGTTTCAGCTCAGTAATGCTCATGAAGAAGTTTAAACTTGGTGAAATTTACAACCACCACAGACCAAGCTCTAACAAAGTTACTGGAGCTTGGTGTTGGTTGAGATTAGCTTTGTTTGAACTGAGATTTACCATGCTAAACCTGGAATAGCCTAGTAGACTCCATTTGGCTTATCTATACCGACGCATTACACATCTGTCATCAGGGCTGAAGTTGTGACTTGTACTATGCCGACCAAGAATTTTTTTGCTTGAATTATGTGATTTCTATGCTGCATGATAATCTAATCTTCACACTTTCTGTTACGCGGTGAAGTTGTCATCTTTCACTGCACCTGGCTTATGTTATAGTGGGTTGGTTTCAGGAGTTAATGCATGATCCTCAGGTGGCTGCAGATGGTCACACTTATGAAGGAGAGGCATTGCGTGGATGGGTGGAGAATGGCCGTGAAACTTCTCCAATGACGAATTTGAAGTTGGATCACTTGCAACTCACTCCCAACCATGCACTACGACGAGCAATTCAAGACTGGCTTTGCAACACTTGAAACTCCCTGCGTTCGTGCATGCCATCTGTTGTTTGTATATTTGTATAGGTTCATTATGAGAGACCTTAAACTCTACCCATTGTAGATCATGCAATTAAAATGCAGGGACAGAGTGGTGAGTGCTTATTAGCACCCACGTTCCTGTATGCTTTTGTATGTATTTTTTATCTATAATATAGATACCGAGATTTTGTTTACCAGGGAAAAGAAAAATGGACAATCTGTTAAATAGAAAACCAATACAATGCTCTCGAGGGTGTTCAATTTTGCTTTTCTGATGTTTAGCCAATTACATTTTTGGCTGAAGATCAACCAACCCTTAGAATTAGTCATTCTACTAGAACAAATGTCTCAACATGCTTGCAAGAGTTGATCCACCTCAGAAAGCAGTGAGACTCTACTTAGATTCTCAGTGCCACTGAAGGGGTGATCTACTGAAATACCAGTGCAGGGATCATCTTTCTGAGCAACCAAAAGAGGCTTCAACTCGCCCATGCAGTTTTCAGGCAAGTCTCCGGCCATAACCTTCCCGGGAACCATGTTTTCTTTAAAACTGGTTTTAGCACAAAACTTTCCAAGTATCTCACCGTCACTAGAACCATTTCTTGAATTTGAATTCTCCATTTTCTTGCTGGACGCCAAATTGTCATTTTCTTCATCGGTCTGATGTGATTTTTCGAACCCCTTTTTGGTCAGATCTTCATAATTCAAGGATGAAAACTGATCTTGATTTCCATTGTCACTAAATTGAGAATCACAACTTCCATATGTTCCTATAGAGGATTCTTGCAGAACTTGTGCTGAAGAAGTCCTCTGACAGAAGCTCCCAAATCCTTCAATTCCTCTGGTCAGCTTCCGAGCTCGATCTCTCTCTTCTTTCAGAAGAGACCCTCTTTCAAGCAGCTTCAGTATCCTCTCAGATTTGTTTCTAACATTAAGCCCCCAATTGAATCTGCAGACAAAATTTTAGAATAGTTAATAATTTGGAAAATAAAATAAATATTAATTCTACATATAAAAAATGTTCAAATTTTGGAAGTGAACAAAAAAAATCCCAACAAAATATAAAACAGAGAAATGAATATAAGACCCTTTCTCATCAAGGTGTTGAAAGCTTCCCATCTCCCTAATAACATCTTTGTCACTTTGGAACTCCTCTGCAACACTCTCTGGTCCATGGGTCAACAAGTGTTCAAGTACTATAAGAGCCTTGTATGATAACCTCCAGTTCTCTCTGTCAAACCTCACCAGCCTAATGCACAAATCAAACACAACAACAGTAAAATATATATATATATATACACACAGTCACACACACACACACACAATATAAATATATATATATACAAAATCACAAAGTCAAATGTAACACACATTAAAACAGATCAAACATGATAACATGAACAGAGTAACAGAAATGAACCTATTGTGTAGAATCTCCACAATTCTCCAATAATCATCGACCTCGAAAGCGGCTTTCGATATCATCTTCAGGGTCCGTGTATCAGGAGCCCATGGATTTGCATTCGTAGCTTCCTCTGCCAATCTTTAAACACCACCCACATAAAATCCAAGATTATAAATAGTCTAAAATATATTCGTAGCTTCATCTCAATGATTGTCACATCAGTTGATAACAAAAATATATCGGGATTTTTATCATCTAATGCGATCAATTTGTGTGCATTAAACTTACAGTTGAGCAGGTGTGACATCTGTGAGGGCCAATCTGGCAGTCTTGATCTTCTCTTTGAAGAAGAAGGAAGCTTGCTTCTTGAATTGATGAAAAAATGGTGCACCCATGTGTTCACTGTTGTTGCTGCTGCCTAAGATTGACATATTTGATCTGTGTGTGTGTATATATATATATATATATATATATGTAAACAAGGTGGAGCGAAAAAGTTAACACAATAACTGATCCAATTTGATGCAACCCACAACAACACCTACTCTGCATCTACTAATAAAGTGGTATTTGAATATGTAACCAGAAGAAAAACAGATACAGATTCCAAGTGTGTGTGTGTGTGTGTGAGAGAGAGAGAGTTCATGACATATTGTTGGGAATTGGGAATGGAAAACAAAAAATTTTCAGTGTATGGTGATGGTTTTTGAATCTACAGATTTGTTGTAAGGATGTGAAGTCAACATCTGACCAGACTCCGGGCTTTTCGGTTTGAATTTGAAAGTCATGTGTTTGCTAATTCCAGGTTTAATTTTGTTACTGGCAGGTTCCTTTTTCCATTTACCTTTTTTTATTAGTATTTTTGTTTTCTCATAAAGAACAAAGTTTGAATTTTGAAGTCCCATTTTCTTTTTTTTTCCTTTCCATGGATTACCCCAATAATATTTGTTGTTGCCGTTGAAACTTGAAAGGTGAAGTGAAGAATTGGAGAGCATTTGTGGGGGTGATTTTGAGTACATATTCTTAAAAAAAGAAAAAAAAATTGTTTTACAGTATGGAACGAATAAGGAAAAAATAAGAATTCATTTATTATAAAAAAAGAAAAAGAAAAAGATATGCAATTATTAAATATTATCGTTCAAATAAGGAAGATTAATTATAATAGAAAACAAGAGAACAAAAGAAACAATAAAAAAATAATATAGGATGAGATTATTAAAAAATAAAATTACAAAAATAAATATAAAAGATGAAATAACATATAATAAAAAAGATGAGATTAAAATAAATACGAGATTAACTCTTCATCCCTTTTCCCTTAACTTCATCAATACAAACACAATGTTACACTGGAGAGTGGAGCCCTTTAACAAGATATGGCCTACTTGGATGATAATTAATGCTTTTTTCATATATATATATATATATATATATATATATATATATAACCCTAGAAATGGTGAGACAGTCGTTTGGGATACTTGGTAGTCAAACTTTCTGCAAATGTCCCCACACCATTAATTTGTTAGGCTTTTATACAAAGACTTTTCCTGCACCTTAAGTTACTTGATACATTTTGGTCCAAAATTAAGATTTAAGACCAGTTCAAGATACGAAAAAACAATTCTTGGCTGGCCCTATCACCAATTGCTTGCACATAAAATGCGCTTGCCCATCTAATCATATGCTTTTTTTCTTCTCCATATACAGTTACATTTGTGATTGTCTTGATTACCAATTATATAAAGAAACCCAAAGGGTCATATGGTTAGACGAAAGAAAGTGATAGAACCTGAAAGTGAAAAAAAAGTCAGAGAAAAAAAACAAGGAAAATTAAGTTATTATCATGTATTTAGTTGGTAAGAATTTTTTTTTAAAAATTATGAGAAAATATTATTTTGTTAATTTGAAAAGAAAAGAAAAAGATTGTGATTATCCTTACCAAAATACCCTTATGATTTCAAGTACTAAACAAATTTATATATGAATATTATTTATATTCAATGGTTTATTTTGGCAAAAAATTAGTAAAATATGAATTATTATTATTATTATTGTCGTGGTTTCAAGTTTTGTGTCCCAAAGATCATGAACTGAGGACGGTCCTGATTTGTAGACGGAGAAATTTACTTAGGGCAAAATAGGAAATTAACATATAAAAGCACAATTTTTGGAAAAATTGGTGAGATGTAGGAATCCTATTTTCTTCAAAAAAATTCTTTTTCTAACTAACTAAACTCTCACAAAATTACCAAGTTTTCGCTGCCCTTTTTTTTTTTCGTTGCTCGTTGCTTCACACGAACGAAACGAAGCCCAAGGGACTTGGATCGTGAAGTCTTGTGAAGCTTTAAGTCTAAAGTTTAATTCTTTTTAAATGCGAGTAATTCGTTGAGATTTAATTACAGACGTAGTTCGAGTTTTATTTTTAAAAATTATACGCCTTTAATTTGAAGATGTGTCTATTTTATGACCATGAGGGTTGATTGCTCCATGGTCATTTCATGTTATAAATAACTTTTTTTTTTTTTAAAGTTAATGTTTTATCATTTTATTTGAAAGAACAACAACGTTGTTAAAAATTTTATTATTTCAGAAATTCAATCTTTGCATGTCGTCTTAATTCCAACCATCAAACCAAAAATATATATTAGTTTTCATAATTCCATTGAGAATAAGTTATAACATTGACATGATTCTTTGCATAAAATTATGACAAATTAGTACAAATATTTTGTTGCGTCCGACATATGAGCGTCAAAAACACGACAATTCATGCGTGGACTTTTATGAGACAGGAAGTTGAAGTTGAAGATGTCGACATTGACCATTAATCCACTCCGCCAATATAAGGGTGCCATGTGGGGTTAAATGGAGGATCATTTTCAACTTGCCAATGCCTTTCCTTTTCTAAATCTTTCAAATCTTGGATCACTTTTACTTTTCGCCACCTTCCTTTCAAAACTTACCATAGTAACTTTTGAATTTCTTCACAAACTATGCTTTCAACCATCCAATTTTCTCATTTATGACTCATTACAATGAATTTACTAACAGTAACCTCTGCAATCACACACACACATAAATAAATAAATAAATAAATATATATATATATATATATATATATATATCCATCAGGAATTGCCAGCAAGGTAGAAGCAACAATCTCTCTGCATACATAACTTCGACCATTCTAACGTCTTAAAAGTAAAAAATCGAGACTTCAAGTCTTAACGGGAATAATGTGTGAGTGACGTGAGTTTCTTAAGAACTCCAACCACTCTAGATCAACATAGCCGTGATATTATTTAAAAGAACCAAAATTTGAAATTTAGTGAGAAATAGTTTGTAGATCAGAAGCTTGATTGTGGACGTACAAGATAATTATCCACTCCCTAGTATCTCCTATCTTTTCTTCTACTCCTCTGCCTACTGTCTTTTCTTCTACTCCTCTTGGGGCCTGAGGTGTATCTTTCTAGGAACCTTCATCCATAAACTTCTAGTTCTGTTTTGCAGCTTGTAACTAAAGCTTGCAGGTTGTAATAAATAGTTTGATGGCTGAATTAAATGTAAATGCTGAAAATGAAAGATATTTTTTAGACCGGCTTTGCTAAAAGTTCTAGTTGGTTATCATGGGATTCGAGTCCTTTCCGGTGGAACAGTAATACATGTTTCGTTCAATTTCAAATGCACCTTATTAAAAAAATATTAGAATATTTAGTAAATATCTCAACCGTTTTGTAGTATATATTCTGAATTTGACAGAACTGATGTACTCGGACGGAGTTTTATTTTCTCTTATCCTGTGAATGAAGCAAACTGTTTGGAGAGGCTAAAATATTGGTTCAAAATTTATGACAAGAAGATAGGTTTTTATTACATATTTAGTCTGATACCCACCTCTCCCACCTGCATACACTGCATTTACTACCCAATTCAAGATTTGTTAGAAGTTAGAAGAGTGATAGTCAGGTGACCCATAAGGGAAGGATGACCTACATGGGTTCCATCCTTCGGCCCTCGTTTCGCCACGTGGCACCAGCAAAATGGATGGATGAGAATAGGGAACAGAGAATTTTCCTATGATGGGAGGTGTGGAAAAGGTTTTGTCTAATTCTTTATAGTCAACCCACCTTTTAGGAACAAATACTGTTTAATCCATGAAAACAGCACGCACAAGAATATTGAACACCAAAAAAGTATTTGTATAGAATTGACTGCCTCTTAAATCTTAACATACAAGGTTTATTATGATTGGCTTCACACTATTTTGCTGCTGACTTTGCAATATTTCATATCTATATATGCATAAAGCTTAATGAACAAAAGAATTCTTTTCTTCATTCATATCCCCCACTTTTCCTTTCAGAATTTACCAAGTAAAACAAGAACAAATAGGGTGCAAATATATCAGATGTGCAACATACATTAATGGTGTTGCTGCCCTTCTTGTCAATACCAAGAACATGAAAAGTGCATTTAAAAAAAAAAAATGACATATATATATATATATATATATATATATATATATATATATATATATTCAGCAAAGGTCATGTTAGGCAGTAAACAATTAGTAGTTTATAGGGGGACAGATATTCACAATGGCAATGGACAAAACTTTACTTCTAAGGAATGTCATTTTGTTGGAAAAATATGATTTTGCTATGAGAGTTTATAAATAAACTTGAAGCAGCATTTACACCTTTACAGATCCTCACCACCCAGTACATTTGCACAACCAAGTCTGTCACACTCTGCCCAGAGCTTAATTGGTATGTAACAAAGGTGAATAGGATAAAAACATCAAAAATGGATGCCTAGGACTCATTTTGCGAATCTCTATTATCTTTTCTTTTTTTTTTTTCTTTTTTATCTGTGTTTATCCCTCTATTTATACACACGATCGCCATATCCTTCCCTCCAAAGAAATAACAATCACTGAAACATCATCATGGTAACGGCGTCGCTCCCCCTGTGGTATTTCGAGCAATTCGTGGAAGTCCATACCTAAAATTGCCAAAAAAAACCATATAGATGACATTTAGTTTTCCTAATCAACTCTGTCAATTAAAAACAGGAGTTTTCTTGTTGATATCTGGACAATACCTGCTTTCTTTGCTGCACGAAACAACACTTCCTCGATCAGATGCTGTGCAGGATCTCCTTCAGGCGACCATGCAATGAAAAGTTCAACTTCGGAAACAGCCTCTTCATTTGTGAAGTACTGATATAATCCATCGGATGATAAAATCAAAAACCTGTCTCTTGGCCCTAATTTGTGATGGTAGAGATACGGGAGATAGGTGATGTATGGGGAGGTTCCAACGTAGTCAATTCTAAACATCTCTAGAAGTGCATTGTTCCATTTAGGCTGCAAAAACAAAAGCAATACAAATGATTTCTAAATCGAATGCTACGCCAAAAAGTGAACTAAAGTAACTAATAAATTCAGATACTTGACTAGCAAAGTTTTTCCAAGTGTCAGGCATTCATAAATTAGCATTTGGCAAATTTTTTCCAACAACCCTATCAACTGTATTTTGAACAGGGTATCATCACGCATCTAATATTCTATTTTAATCATTCTTGTTAAGTAAATACCACTAGACTACCACATTTTCAGCCTAGAGGAGCAATAGAAAATTTGAAGTCATATCAAATTTTTGGAAATCTTTCTGAGTCTGCTACATTTCTAGACAAATTTAACCGATGGTCAATTGGATTGGTAAATTATATCAACTACTTTCCACATGGAAACAGGCATATGTTTCTACTATTTTGTGATAAAGAGCCCCTCAACAGTCACAAACATTGCCATTTGTAAAGATTCTCCAATTTTTGTTTTCAATATGGAATTGATTTCCTAGAAGGGGACCAGTGAAAAAGATAAATGCAGCAACTGGTTCAGAAGAAGCAGCTCACACGAAATATAATCGCATCATCGTGTTATTATAACAACTAACAAGGTGTTCAAGAAGCTAATCAACATTAAATGAAATCCACAAAAACGAAGTTGAAGTCCGAATGCTATATTATTAAAGATTATGGAGATTTACAAATATCCTATCTCAAACAGATGCCTCCCAAAATAGGAAGGGCAAGTTGCTTTCTTCCATTTTTTGAGGACAACAAACATTGTTCTCAACAAAATATCAATAATCTTTAGTTGGAAGCTCAATCTTTGAAATTCTCTATAACCATTTGAGGAATATACTTTTCACAAGCACCGAAGGCACAAAATTTACTTCACAGCTCCTCAAATTTATGCTTTTGAAACTTGAAAAGTGAATTGGTTAAAAACTAGAAAGCTTGGAATCTAGAATACCTGTTTAAGAAAACCAGCCCCAAAAGCTCGAGTGACCTTCAATGAGCCCTTTACACGGTCATTCATCACAGCACAAGCATCATCAGGGTGTTCACTTTTTATTCTTTGAACTTCCTGAAATGCAACATAAATATTAAGTAAAGTTTCATCATTAAATTACAGAAAACCGAAAATAATACCAATTCTGAAAAGCTCATCAGCTCAAGTGTCTACTATTTACCTCTTCTACAGATGTGCTATGATCCATTGTGAGTTGCATAGCAGTCAAACTTTGCATGGCGTTGGATCCATCCCCGTCACACGATTCAAGATCATGCAATGTTTCTTCATTGATCCTCTCTAAGTCCTGACACCATAGATCGGGCTCGGCCTTCTGAGCTAACACGGCTCGACTGTCGCCCACATTCATCACATAAACATCTTCTCCCTTCATTAGCATAACAAGAACACAAGAGCCCATTAAAGCTAACTCAGGATTTTCCATAACCATCTTATCTGCAATATCCAAATAGGCCTCCTCTGTTTTCTTCAATGCTTGAGACAGAGCTTTCAACACATCAGAGTGATTGATTGCTCCTGAACCATTAGAACCACCCTGATTTAACTGCTCCTTTAACCTCCGATCGAGCTCTAATCTCTCTCTGTCCCATTCACACTTCCACCTCCTCTGGTTCTCCTCCCACTTCTTTGCCACTCCTCTGTACTTGTTCTTCGAATTCTTACCCCTCTTTCTTCTCGAATCCGAATCACAGTTCGCATCCTCACTTCCACAGGGATAATTCTCTTGCTCAACACACCGTGAACAGCCCTCCCTCGAAAACTCATCATCCCCTCGAGCACACGAATCCTCCATTTCTGAATTCGAATTTTCGGATGGAACAGAGGAAGTACTATTGGTAGAGTCACACTTATCATCCCACAACAATCCTTTGAGCTCCTTATGAACAGCACAATACAAATTGGATAGAAGAAAGTCCGGTGCATCGGGGCCGTTGAATCCGTCATAGATTCCAACGAATACCCACCCGTGTTCCTCCGATACCACGACATGAACTCGATCCTCGCCGGCCTTACCTTGTGCCCATTGAAGATTCTGACTTCCCAATGAATCATCATCGTCTAAACTACCTTCACTGCTCAAATTAACACTACTGATTGTCAATTCGTTTTGCTTCTCAGACCCAACAATCCAATCATGTTCTTTGACCGAAACAACACTTTTAATCGGAGCAACAATAGAATTCTGACCTCTAGAAATCGTCTTGGATATCGCTCTTTGCAGAACCCGAATCAACGATCCTTTTCTCGATCTGGATCCAAAAGCGAAACCACCATGAGAATAACTCCGCTGGAACTGATCGGAGCAACCCTTTTCCAGAGGAGCCGAGTAGAGGCTGTGGTCGAGAGGTCCCGATAGGAATCCACGCTCGATTGGACCTGATAAAAACCCTCTCTCCATCGGACCTGAACCCGGAATTCCCCCAAAATTCGATGACAAAGGCCCAGAATTAATCGAATTTCGGGGAATGGGTTGGAGGGGAATGGAGGCGAAAGAGGTGGAGCTCTCGAAAGCCGAGGCTCGATCGATGCTGTTGTAGCTATAGATATCGACGAAAGCTGTGGAGAGAGGCGTGGATGTGTTGGCGCTCACGGAGGCGCCGGAGATGGATCGAAAAGTCGTCGTCTCCTCGGAGTGGACTTTGGAGGACGAGAGACGAGATGCGTCAGGTCTCACGTAGCAAAAGGAGTGACCCAGATCGTCGATTGGATCAGAAATGACGACGGCCATGTCTTTTCTCCGGCGAACCTCGCCATCGCCGGAGAAGCAGACGCTGAGCTTATAGCAACCGTTACCCATCGAATCACCAGAACAGAGTACACAGGGCAAATCTCGATCTGACCAAAACTAAACCCGAAATTTCATTGCAGAGATAGAGAGAGAGAGAGTAGAGAGAGAGGAAGCACAGAAGAAGGAGAGGATGAAGAAGATATAGAGGGTGAAAGAGATGCGTTGACTTTTGGGTAGAGTTTTTTGAAATCATAAAACACACACTTTTGACAATTTTTTTTTTTTCAAAAAAAAATATAATTTTCTTTTGCATTGTGCGGGAGTTGACTAAGTTTGGGGTTTAAGTAAACTTAGAGGGTTTAGGTTTAGAATTATGTATTAGCCACCTTCAGTAAGGAGCGTGGAGTACAAACTCTACATGCATGTGTAAAATGATTTCGACATTATTGAACATATATATAGCATTTGATTCATTTAGGACGTGTTACATGTTTTGGGTGGTGCACCCTAACGAAGCAAAACACCATTTGGTAACTATTTTATTGCTATTTGAATAGTATTACATTTCACTCTTTTATTAAACACGTTTTCAATCACAAATGAGCAAATTCTACACACAAAAAATAAAATAAAATAAAAATATATGTTTTGTTTCGAATGAAAGCAGACACATAAAATGAAAGTGATTGCCAAGTGAACCCCTAATATTGAGTATAATTTATAACAATAGTGCACGTATAAGATCACGAACACACTACACTAAGGGATTTGAGTTGTCAACATCTTTATGTTTACTTATTATGTAAATATTTACATTTTTTGTGGGGTTAAAAAAATATTTACATTTTTTAAAACTATTTATTAATAAAAAAAGTAATCAATATACCAAAAATAGACAAATATAAAAAATAATAAATAATAAAAAAACATATAATGTTTTATTGATTCAAGTTGAATAAGTTTGTTCAACACTAATCTATGCCAAGTTAAACACATAAATAATAAACTACACTCAAGGAATGAGTAGGCTTTGAGTTGATTTATTTTGCTCACATGGGACGGGAATTGTATGCGTTTAAATGAGTTAGGGGCGAATATGAGATTAAGAGCTTTAACCCAAATTGAGTTAGGGGCATAATGAATATGTAAGTTTCTCGCCTCATCCCGTTTCTAGGGCTAAAATACATATATACCTTACTTTACTTTGTTAAATGGATGAAAACTTTATTAAAATTTGAAATAGGAACGAAATGAGAAAAAAATATATATAAATAGGAAAATAATTGAGAGTCCGATCATTGGACAAATTCAACCAATTTATGTGAATGTGAACTGACATCATTATAATAATATAAGTTCTCATTTGCATAAAATTGTATAACTATTAGACTTGGAGAAAGATCCAATTCAAGAAAGGAGAAGTTCTGCACTCTCACCAACCATTGATTAGTATCAACCATTGATATAATATTATTACTAATCAATAATTGATAGATATGCAGGACCTCTGCTTTTTTCGGAACGGATTCTTCCAACTCTCTATAGTTGTCCCTACGAGTAGTTATCCTTAAGTGGTTAGAGTGTGATTCACCTCCAAAGAGGCGCGTGGAAATCAATTTACTTATTAATGGTGGAAACTTAAAGTAGTCATAAATTAAGGGAGAGATCGAAAGGCAAGCTCGATGCCCCATAAATACGCCTGGGTATGTGTGCCTTAATCACCGTTGGATCAAGGGTAGGATCTGTGGTAGATGCATGGTCGGCTGACATCTGGCAGTCCACAATTGCCACGCCTAGAGCCCTTTGTCACCTTGATTGATGTAATTAATTCCTCTCTCAATCAATTTTTTTCCTCCTGATTTTTGGTTGAATTTACATTACAATTTGTCAAATAATTAATATATATATTTATTTTGATGAGGCGGGGTGGTTGTAGACAGTACTTAATAACACTATAGTATATACATATTTATTGCAGCTTGGGTGTTTTAGGTAAGTTTTACTTATTTATGCTGCTTGGACCAAAAATGAATAATTTGAATAAATAAGTATGACTATTGCATGACTGAGTTTATTTTGACTTTTTATACTATTGACTATTAAGTCCACAAAATGAACAGAGAAATCAGGACTATTATATCATGGTATTTAATGGTCCCCATAAAGTAACAATTTAACAATCAATAAAAGTACCTTGTTTTAACTTCCTTCCTCACTCTGCCCATTTTGGAGGAAAAAATAAATTTGTTAGAATCATCTTCATTTCACTTCATTTAATGCATATTTAAATTCTGAATAATTTTAGGTGATAATTATAATCCAAAATCATTCACTTGGACGAAAAGAGTCTTAAAAACAAGACGTGTTAATTTCAATTTTATTCAACACATATGACAAAATTGTTAAGACGTCTATTAATTCACCAATCTCAATTTCTCCACTCCACTAAATAGCTAAATAGGCCACGCATTGACTTTGAAATTGGGATTTTTGAATATTTCAACAGCATAAACCTAACTTCTAGAGGTGGCATTGGTCTTCAAATATTGTTTGACATTTCTTCTTGATTAATGGCTGGGATTTTAGTTGTAAGTATAGGTTTTGTACCATGGAGACACATGATAGTGAGGGTATAAAAGTATAAAATCCCATCATGAGAGAGGGATTAATGGTTTTTAAGGTACTTGATTACAACAATATTAGAAAAAGCAAACCTAACATCAAATTGGTAAAAAAATAAGTAAAAAGTCAGAAAGAGACAACATCCAATATCAATCAAGTGTGTTGATATAATATAATATATAAATATAGATATAGATATAGATACAGGGTGCAAAGGAGAACCTAGGTTTTTAATTAATGAAAACATGCAACAGGAGAGATCAACTTTTCTACTTCCATAATAATGATCCCATTTGAGAATTCAAAGCTATCATCATTCAATATTGCAAGTGGAGAACCCTCCTAAGCCACCTTCTCCACATTCTATTTGCCTGACCCACCCACCCTGGATTCCCTTTTGTCTTCTTTTACCTTATATTATTGTTTACTTTCAATGTGGTCTTATACTACTCTAATTGCACTTCTTTTTCACAGCTAAGAACATGGTAACTAATTTACTAGGGTTTTATATCATGTATGGCCCACACCAACCTTCAACCTTTTTTTTTTTTAATTTTATTTTTCTATTTTATTTTTGGGGTAAGTACAAGCATGCTTCAACTTCCAACCATTAAATTTTAAGATCTTGGGGTCCCTTATAAATACCAATCTATAGCATATCTTTCTAAATACAGATAAGAAACCTAACAAACACACACATAAACACACACACACACACACATATATATATATAATCATGTTGATATTAAATAGGCAAATTACACTGACTTATCATGTTGAATGTCTAAATAACGGGACATTCCCTCTAATTTAAAAAATAATATTGATTTTTCTTATAACTTTAGTCTGAATAACACTAACGTCCCATGTATGTCATAAATTTAGTTAATGTTATTTGCTGATATCATGTTTGAAATTTATTTAGACTCAATTTTACTTTTAGAAAGCTTGAAAATATATTTTTATCCATATATGTAATGGTAAATAATATTCAACACTTTTGGGTCGAAGTCAATATTGACAAGAGAGGTGCAGCGGTGTCATTTGAGTGGTAAAGAGTTCGGACTTAAAGTGACCCCCATCATATTGATTCTAAGTTCGATTCTCTCCTTTCCTAACTAATTACTAATCATTATCACGCTATAAAAAAAATTGACAAGGGAGGGCTATGTTAATTTTGAAACTATATGGAACATCTTGTTTTTTTAAGTATTCAACAAGGGAAGTATGTACTTTTTCCATATTAAATTAACAAATGCAAAACTAAATCTTGGAAATCTCATCATGTCAATTGTCCATTTGTCCAATCACATATTATATTATATATATATATAAATGACTCGCGTTCATCCAAAAATTGGTATGTATAAGAGCTAGCTATTTTATGAATGAGTTAATCGAACCAAATTTGTCCCAAACCATTTAAAATTAACTATACACACTCATTTTCATTATTTTATTTCCAGTGTAACCAACTTTTATCTCAAGCACCAGTCATCATGCCCTCTATTTCCTGGACCTTCCTTTTTTCTGATTTATTTTATTTCTTTGGACAATTTTCTTTTCCATATAAATTTCAACTTACATCATTTTTCCTACCCTAATTATTGATATAAATAACCAAAAATCTTCAACATTTGAGTATCGATCTCCTAAAAAACTACAGTGCATGTTCTTGTTTTCACCTCTAATAATTGTATTAGTAAAATTTTAAAATACAAATCACATACGGTGTTGCCTAGATTATGATTATCACATTTTCAAGACCATCAATTCTAGTGGACAGAGTGTCCAAGTTGCAGCTTAGCTTGTGTTGCCTGCATGTCAAGCAAGTGCTACACATTCTTTAGTGTGTGCAGTGTGTGCACACACAGTCACACGATATACAGACACTCACAGTATCAACCTAACCGAGAAAGATTACACAATCTTGCACTCATTTGTACAATATTGAATAGGAAAATGATTTTAAGGTTGATAGAACCTTTCACTTCCTTGCATATATAATGCAAACACGACTAATCAAAATTATTCGATCGACAATTTATCATAAAAAAATTTCGACTCACGTATCACTGCTATATTGAATAATATTTTGTACAAGACTGGACCAGGATCCCTTACAACTCTTCTAGAAAGAACAAGGCTTCAAGCATCCACCCATTTGATTTTAAAAGAAATATATCAGCTCTAGCTAGAACCCTAATCTTGACTTTGATTCAAATATTATTATATATATATATCATATATATACATACAATAAAGGTGCATTTGGGATATATATATATATATACACATACAATAAAGGTGCATTTGATAGTTCCATCTTTGCACCATCCCATTTTGGGTCTTCTCTATTTTTTATATTTGGTTATGTCAAATGGCTTTTCTGTAATTTACCAACTGGACCTTGAGCTTTGCTTGCACCATCTTTAGTTGACTTGTTATGCTGTCCACTTCAACCACACCCCTTGCCAGCTTCTCCACACATTTAACCTCCAAATTGGGAAATTTTACCATATAAACCACATGCCTTACTTTTGTACAATTACTATGCAATTTACATGGGAAGAAATGTGAATCCAACCAATCTAAGGTTTTGAATA